TAGGTAGCTTGTTTAGGTTATGGTATTAATTTCGTGTAGGGAGAGGGAGGGCTGAGATAAAGTAAGGAGGTTTAAAGCATATGCGTGGTAGACGAAAGAATGGATTTGATAAGTTTTATATACATATACACACACAAATTTACAAATTATACGCTGTAAGTGTGTAGCGGGTATGAATACTTTTGGTTTTATGTATGGTTGTTTTTCCCCAGAAATATGTGGTCATAAAGTTGACAGCTTCGTAAAATAAACACAACTATCTTTGTGGCTGTATTTTACATTATGTGGATCTATAATGATTAGCTGAAGGACATGAATAAACAGTGTCTGCAATCAGTATGGCGGTGGCGCCATATATTTCAATTATCACGGTCTGTTTTAATTGGATACGACTTGGGAGACAATTGTAGTGATAACAAGACACAGCTGCTCAGAAGCAGAGAGAAGTTACAATGTGTTTAGGAAACATTATTATGCATAGAAGAATGACACGCAGGAGAAGGAGAGTCTGAAACATAACAAACACAAGAAACTATATCTGATTTTCAAGGAGAATACAGTGATAAAAGGAAAAACACAGAACTGACGGAAACATGTCTTGAAACAATTATGGACTCTGTTATATAAGAACGGGTTCTCTTAGTCAGATTAAGTGGTAGGGTAGTAGATGTGAATATTATAAAAGTCTCTGCACTAACGACAGACAGTTCGGAGAAAGAAAGCAATGATTTTTATAAACAACTAAACATAGTCTTAGCGCAGTGTAAAACCAGGAAAACAGCTGTAGTGTTAGGTGAATTTAATGCAGGGACTGGGCAAGAAAATGATCAAGACATTACAGGTGGATTTGGTCTTGGGGAGAGAAATTAGAGAGGAGAAAAACAGGTTGAACTGGTTAGGACACATAATATGGTCTTGGAAATACTAACTTTAAACAACATCCAAGACGTCTGTGGACTTGAAAAACATACTTATAATTATATTAGGACATGGTATGCCAGAAATAACGGTTGATGCGCATATTGTTAACAACCTGCGATATGCCGATGATATAGTTTTGATTTCTGAAAATAAAACACAAACGCAAGAAATGATGGATATAACTGTAACGGAAAGTTAAAACATGGGCCTTAGTTTGAACAGGATAAAAACAGAAGTAATTGTAATTAAAAAAAAAAAAAAAAAAAAAAAAAAAAAAACAAAGACAACAAAAAACCAAAGCTCCAAAATGCAACATTAAAGAAAAGGGGATAAACCTCAAGCAAGTTGATTTGTTTAACTACTTAGGTACCCTGAATACTTCAGATTAAAGATGCATTTAAGGACATTAAATGTCGAACAGCTCAAGCAAAAGCTGCATTTTACACACAAAAAGCATATTTTATGCAATCTTTCTTTGTCAATTGAGACGAGAAAGAAAATTCTTAAAAGCTACATAAACCCTAGAATGATATACAGAAGTAAATCCTGGACATTTAGTAGATAAGTGAAAACTTATTTAGAGGCTGCGGAAATGTGGTTTTATAGACGAATGGTGAGAATAACCTGGGCAGAAAAAGGATTAATGAATCTTGAAAGAAAATGACTCACGAAGAGAACTGACTGCTCACCTCAGAAAGAGACAATCTACATTCTTTAATCATGAGATGAGAAGGAGAAAACTGGAGTACATCGTGACAGTAGAAAAGTGGGAGGGGAGGAGAGGCAGAAGATGACCTAGAGAACAGATGCTGGACAGTCTGACTTCATGGCACGGAGGATCATCTGTGTAAGAGTTGATTAAAAGTGCACGAGCCAGAAGGTTATGAATAGACATGACTACCAGCGCACACGGCATAGACTTTAGGAAGAAGAAGAAGACATATCATAGTGAATAAAAGAAGACACCCAATAGAAACTTTGTAGAACAGAAACACTTAATCGCCCAAGGATTAACCCGGGCTCCTGCAATTTCACTAGTGCTCTGTAATGTCTATGCATGCAGGACTGCATAACTGTAAGCACTAGGGGTTGGAATAATTTTGTCATTTGCAGATGTTCTTGCACACAGGCAGGGAGCAGTAAGCAACAAACCGCCCAAGAACTTTAGGCAACTGTAGACAAAGTGACTGACTGGTATGCAGAAATGGGTGCTGTCATCAACCCAGAAAAGGCAGCTGATTTATAGTGGTCTCTGGACAATTGAATTGTGAGAGCTTTTATTCTAGGTCTCACAATTAAGAATAGAAATATCAAAAGAGAAAGCAAACTGTGGTAACTTTGTATCACTTTCGATAGCAGCCTGCCCTTCAGGGATCATGTGGAGGCAGTTGCGGCGAAATGCTAAAAAAGGACCCAATGCACTCAACATTATGGCAGCAATGGATATGGAACAAAGAATGTTGTTCACAATATTCCAACTGTCTATTCTGTCAGTGATAGAATATAGACTTAGTATGTTTACCATATCAAAGTAGAAGATGATGAAACTAGAACGCATACAGAATGAAGCCATGATGGTAATTCTGGGATGTACAAGAGATACCCCGGTAGTATGTTTCTATGCGATATACGCTTGCACTGCTTACTATTGCATACAGGCTAAACGTTCTGCATCTCGGAGTAGCTACAGAGAAGAAGCCCCTCCTGCATGAAGCCCTAGGTGGGGCTAAGGGTCACAGATTGAAAAGAGGAATGTTCTGGATGGCGCAAGAGAAGACACAATTAGACTTGTGTACAGGCTTGATGAATTTGTGCGAGGTGAGGAGTGGGTCAAAGTATCCGAGCAAGTTTCAGACTTGTGTAGGGTTCTTATTAGGGCTAGACCGAATATTCGCTACGTATTCGCTTCGCGGCCAAATAGTGGACCTAATAACTTTTCGGTATTCGGCCGTATACTTGCGGTCGGGCCGAATACGAAAAGTACTTACCTTACACCAGTTTCTGCATACACTGAGATGGACTGAAATAACTCTCTCATTAACACAATAGTTGCTGTTGCCTAAGTCTGTCATAGTGGGGAAAACTGCGACCAAGTTACGTGGTACAGCAGCTGGCAAGTTCTTTGCTTGTTGACTCAACCGAGGCATTACAGCCTAGGTTCTCAAACTGGTTGCGTATGCCAGGGGTGCCGGGGCGAAAATCAAGAAAAGTCGGCTATACATTGTGACATTATTAAAGAAGGCATGAATATACTCAGAAGTTAAAATTTAAATTGTCTTTCCTCTCACCTAATGATGATGATAATACACTATTCGTATTCGACCGAATAGTTGGTCCCGCAATTTGAATTCGGCCGAATAGTGAAAATCACTATTCGGTACAGCCCTAGTTCTTTTCACTTTGGGTTGTGAGTGCAGGGACTGGCCAGCTGGCGCTGCAGAATGTTAAGTTCAACAAATGATTCATGACAATTCCCACCGAAGTGATGTGATTATCTATAGATGGCTCTTTGTTGAGAAGCAGACTAATACCATAGGAGTTCTTAACAAATGTGAATGGAAGTCACTTAGTGCAAAAAGCATGGCATATGTCATCGCAACATCTAGTTTGAGAATGGAGGTGCAGTCGGTCACCACAGCCTTTCGCTGACTTGAGAATCAGCTGTACACACATATCGTATTTTTTACCGAATCATAGAGTATGTTGAGAAAGATGTAGCCTTGTATTCTCCGTGAAGAGTGGCAACATCACTTCAGAGGTCCAGTGTAGTTAGCGTCCTTTGGATATTTTACCAAGGAAATATCAGTGTATTCGAAAATTAACAGGTACAGTAGACTGGCTGGTTCTTCACAACTTGGTGGTTAATTGATGCATGACAAGCTACATATTGTAAAGGGCTTTTTGGCGAGTGAACAGTGCGAAAGCTTAGATGGATCATTATGGTCTGAAGAGGACAACACCACGAGAAATGACCAGGGGATTTGGTCGATGATTAGCATTCAGGGTAAAGGTCAGACGGATATACAATCAGAATGCTATTGGTTACTGAAACTCTGCGCGTGCTGCTAGAGATGGCGACGGAGCGCTTATGGGAATGTCCTGAGTCCTGTGATCTCTATTTCTAATTAAACATTAGGCATTATTCACAACTACTGCTTTTTTGTTTTCAAACATTGCTCTAAAGCTTCCAGACAGACGACATTGTAAAGTTCGAGGATACACTATTATGTATAGTATGCACTATAGCCCTCTTCTTATAGTTACAGATACTGAATATAGCCACAGCCAAAAAGCGCCAAGACATGGTAATTCAGCAGAAAAGCGACGCCGACAACGAGACTCGGGTCCAACAAGCTGCCTAGCAGTAGCAGCAAGGCCAGTGGATCGGCATCTAGAGCGCCTTGCCACGAATACTCACATAGGTTGAAATCTAGCGAATGGGCTCCCTGCGGCTAAGCTTTGTCGTAAGATCTACGTACGATTTGTTAACGACTGGGGTCAACAATATTAAGTGGCATGCGGTTACCGACCTGACATGCTCACTATGCAGAGCTAAGCAGACGCTTGAGCACGTATTGTCCGCGTGCAAAAAAGCCCTAGGTCAGGGTAGATACACTTGGCGCCACAATAAAGTTCGGAAAGAGTTAGCGAACATTGTGGACCAAGCCAGGATGAGGACCAACGTGAGGGCCAGTCCTACAGTTTTCCATGTGCGCTTCCTCAAGGCTGGGCAGATTTATAAAGGTAAATTTAACAAGGCTGCAAGCCAGGGGGACGAGCCTTAGTGGGCTGGTTTGGGTTTCTAGCCGGAAAGAAAGTCTTATCCCTCAAGTCCATCGTATCCGAAATGTCTGCCAGTGTTCCTCTGCCATTTGCAAAGTCTAATATGTGTCCAATGAACCAACCGTAAACTTGCCACTTGGACGTTAAGGTAAGCCGACTGATCTAATAGGCTACCGCAGCGACTATAAAAATACTTAACTTCGAATCTCACAGTACCCGTTGCATACTTTCGTCTTATCCCTGTCTGAGAACATCAGGTAAAGTGCAGCACTTTTTCCTCCACCTCGCTTGGCAAGATGGCAACCGCTGATCACCAGATTGAGAGAGCTTACCAGAAGCAGCCGACTGTCTTCCTGAACAAGAAGTCCATTCTACAGGGAAAGTCAAAGAAGAATCTGAGATATGTGCGAAGTGTGGGACTTGGGTTCAAAACTCCAAGAGAGGCTATTGATGGAACTTACATCGACAAGAAATGCCCATTCACAGGAAATGTGAGCATTCGTGGACGTATTCTGTCTGGGAGAGTGCTGAAAATGAAGATGACAAGAACAATTGTTATTCGCCGGGAGTACCTTCATTATGTGAGGAAATACTGCAGATTTGAGAAAAGGCACAAGAATCTCAGTGTTCATCTCTCACCTTGCTTCAGAGATGTTGAGATTGGGGATGTGGTCACAGTAGGAGAATGCAGACCTCTGTCTAAGACTGTCAAGTACAATGTGCTGAAAGCTACCAAGGCTTCAGGCTCCAAGAAAGGCTTCAGCAAAGTTTAACTGTATTTGCAATATCAGCAGAATAAACTAATGAAACATAAAAAAAAAAAAAAAAAGATCAAGGCCTGAGTGTAATGACCCAGGTTGGCCCACCCTCTGAAACTGTCTAGGAGTTCGTTGGCCAAAACAATTGTTGACGAGGTATCTTCTACTGATGATTGGTAGACTCTTGCTCCCCTGTGGAGTTCTTATTATATTATTATGTTGCACTGTAGTCCGCTTCTTATAGTGCACACATTTTAAATAATTAACACATTGTTGTGTTTCAACCTGTTAGATGTACTAGACAGGCTCTGTTTAAACCGCTTGTCATTCATCCCTATTCATTTCTTTTTCCCGCCTGACCATCTAATTTCTCTAGGTCATTTCTTGTCAAATTTATTAACCTTGCGTTAATTTGTGAGTATAGAACCTCTGCTTGTGACCGAATTTGGCGCAACACAAATTTTTCTATAAACTTATTACTGTCGACAATGGCAAACTACTTGACGTAAACTTTACTAGAAAAACCACAACAGTCAAGACATGCTGGAATTTGGTTCTGCAAAGAACCTGGAAAGAATGCACAACTGACTTATAACCCATTAGTGAAGCTGAATCATTGTTTGTTTGTGTCTTACGCTGTTGAAGGCACTTCAGGCTAAAGATCATTATGTTCTTGTAAAATGTAATATTGTAAATTAATTTTTTTTTTAAAGTCTAGATTAGATTAATTGTTTTCTAATTCGTCTTCACCTTCGCCTTCTCCCTCTCCTCCGCTTTTTATCTTGTTCTTGCTCCTTTTCTTCTTCTTTTTCTTCTTCTTCTTCTTCTTCTTCTTATTCTTCTTCTTCTTCTTCTTTTTCTCTTCTTCTTCTTCTTCTTTTTCTTCTTCTTCTTCTTCTTCTTCTTCTTCTTCTTCTTCTTCTTCTTCTTCTTCTTCTTCTTCTTCTTCTTCTTCTTCTTCTTCTTCTTCTTCTTCTTCTTCTTCTTCTTCTTCTTCTTCTTCTTCTTCTTCTACTTCTTTTTTCTTAAATTCTTTTTTTTTCTAATTTATCATTTTCTTCACCATTATCATCAACGTTTGCTTCTTCTTCTCTTTTCCCTCCTCCTTGACTTTCTTCCTATTCCTCCTCTTCATTATCTGTTTTTTATTCCTCATTTGTGTGTGTGTGTGTGTGTGTGTTTGTGTGTGTGTGATACTGTGGACTTCTTCAGAGTCATTTGTACACTCTAATGTTAGTCTAAATGCTTACAGTTGCACCTTTTAATTAACAAAAGCACACTATAGCCAGTCGAAAATATCTGTTCAGTCTTTCTACATAAATTAAACTGTCGTTTCTAATTTTGTTTCCGGACGCTATGTTTTTTTTTTTTTTTAAAACACATTTTAAGCCTAGTTTTCACAAACAAAATTGCAAAAACTTGCTGGTTAATTAATTAGCTGAGATTTCTGGCCTCTCACTCTTTACTCGGAGTCACCAGAGTTCATTTCCAAGAGTGGTTGTTGAGAACAATTTATTTGTATGCCATCAAAAATAAACAGATTGTAGAAACGCCAATGTGCGTGAGTCAAGACTGTCAAATCAACGGCTAGTTAAATGACTTCACTTGGTCTGCCTCCAGGGTTTACGAAAGCCAAGGAAAATGGAATAAAACTCCCAAGTGACGCGTTTTTCGTGATAGTTCTGGGAACCATCTCAATGGACCACAGACGCGAATAGACAGGCGTCCGTTTCGTTTATTGAAAAGCTATTTAGCCTCTTAAGATTTCCACTTATATGTCACTTGGCTACTGTAACTCTACCGTTTGGTGAAAGTCGAGTGAAAGGATTGCTTAAAATAGCTCGGAGAAAATAATTATTTTTAAAAATAATCATTCGGCTAAATTTAACTTTCGCGAATTGTATGAGTTAGCAGTAAATGTTGATACGTTGTTGACTAAAATATTCTAATTCCAATTCCTTCATTGGTAAAATTACTTTATTATTTTCTTGCGTGCCACCTCGCTAGCTCTTCGATTACAGCCAGTTCATGTCTGGGTTTCTATCCTTCTAAGATATCTTGTTGGCCTCGATGGTTCGATCGATTAATAGGATTTGTCCCCTCCAGACTGCTATTCAAAGTTTAGCAAACTATCCTAAAATTTCACAATCCTGACAAAGACAGTAGATCAACAAGACAGACCTTAGATATCCTGCTCAGTCTCCGAAGAAATTAGAATCAGGGCACCTGTTTCAGCATCCCGGGTCAGATGTAACCTGTGGTCAGTCAGATAGGGACGTGATGTTGTCGGACTCGGTCAATCATAATATCAGGCAACGTTTTACAAATCCTGGGTTTGTATAAGACAATTACAAAATGTATTTCTTTGGGGAGCAGACGGCATTAGCAACACGTGACTCCTTGGATTACAAAAAAAAAAAATAATAAAGCGATAATGTCTGCTGAAACTGTACCTGAACAAAGAGGGATTGCAGTTATACATCAGTATACGAACTGACTGATTTTTTTTTCCAACCCCACCAGGACATCACACTAAGCGATAAACACCCGGTGAAACATAGTTCCACCATGAGGATAAAGATCACCCATGAAGAGGTCCCAGAAACCCCGTTCAATCCTTAGGTTATTTAGGGCCCCTGGCTACAACCAGGGTGAAGCTCCAAAAGAACGAAAAATTGGTCCCACATGGGGACAGGGAATATTGTATAAGTACTTAATCCATTCCGATTCCTTCGACGCGTAAAGAAGAAGACGTAAACGAAACAAATACAAATTTTTTCAGACTTTTACAGACTGTAACGTGGGATATTTTCACCCTGACTGGGAAGGTTGGGGGGGGGGGGGGGGGGGGACCACAAGCTAACAATAATACCGAGAGAAGCTAGATACTCGGATTAAATGAGGTTTTCAAGATAGGGAACGACCACGAATTATCACGTGGAAGTAAAGGAGAACGACCACAGGTCGCAACGTGGTGAAGCTCAGGGCTGCTTCCCCGCCGCACAGAATTACCGGATGGTGTTATACTTTCGGCCAGAGACAAGACGACTTGGTGGTTTCGAAGGAGGTACTGTGAGATAAGAAGCCGCCACGGCTGCGTAATTAGAACAGTCCGCATGCCTGGACGACCGAGCGACAAGCTTACTTTGGTTTACCGGACACGACACATGTTGGACTTTTATTAGCAGTTGGCAGAGGAACACTGGCAGACAATTCGTACACGATGGACTTTCGAAGGGATGAGAAACTCTTTTCCACTAGACACCCGGACCAGCTCACCGAGGCCCGTCCCCTACGTTGTTGCGCTGCGTCCAAAGCCAGCTGGATGCCCTTTCGGCCACCTCACCAAGTTTTTTTGAGTGCCCGTTTCCGTTCATTACCGCGCAATCCTAATTCTTTCACCACATTGTAGAGCGAAGTGGAAACGAGGCCTCTCTCGCTCCCACTTCGACGGCAAATACCCGCACTGTGTAAGCCTCGTTTCTCCTCAAACCGGCTGCTAAATCACTGTACTTTTCGAGCTTGTACAAGTGATTCTCCTCCATACGCGACTCAAACGGGACCGTCAACTCAATCAGGATGAGTTGCCGTTTTTGCGCTGAATGGAGAACGATGTCCGGTCGCAGGCCGGTTTTACGGATCAACTCGGGATACCGTTCATGTCCTGGCAGATCAACCGCCAGTAACCAGTCCCTCGCAGAGTCTAGCACAGATGGAGCGAATGCGTTTTTGTTGACCTTACCAATCGAAACCTGCCCAGCCTTGAGGAAACGAATGGGGGCGATACTAGAACTGGCTCTGGCGTTAGCCCTCATTCTAGCCTGGTCGACAACGGCTGCTAACTCCTTTAGCACCTTGTTGTGGCGCCAGGTATATCGGCCTTGACCTAGGGCTTTCCTGCACGCGGACAGGACGTGCTCAAGAGTTTGTTTTGATTTGCACAACGGGCAAGTCGGATCGTTGGTCGCAGACCATTTAACCATGTTGACACCGGACGGTAATACATCGTACGCCGAACGAACGATAAAGCTCAGTCGCAGCGGGGTCATCCGCCAGATCTCACCCCATGTGAGTATTCTAGGCAATGCGCTCTCCAGGCTGACCCAATGGCCCTGCTGCGACTGTTGGGCTGCTTTCTGGACCCGAACCTCGTTTTCGTTGTCCCTCACCGTTTGTATCACCATGTCTCGGCGCTCTTTGGCTGAGGCCTTTGACCACCAATTGACTTTCCCGTGCCCTAGGCCTCGACGGTCGGTTTGTGTGTAACCCATCACCTCCTTCAATTTTAGTGCGTTCTGAGCAGATTCAATCGCATCGAGGACTCTCCACTTCTGGCCAGTCTTTAGAGCGGGCTGGACAGCGATGACATTTGGGTCTGAGGACTCGCGCAAAAGCATGGCGAGCCTAACTTTGCCGACTTTAAACTCTTCGGTTATTGACTTGAACGGAAGTACCAGCTTAGCCTGTTTACAATACAGAGCCACGTCGGTCAGACAAGGCGGTGCACCAATCCACTTTCTTAAGGCTGTGTTGATTTTCTTTTCCATGGCTTCAACTGCAGTCATCGTCACCTCGTAGACTAGCAGTGGCCATAGAAGCTTCGGAATCAACATGAATTGGAGACACCATACCTTGAATTTTCCGACCAGCCTGCATCGCTCGATCGCGAGCAGGCCTGTAGCCAGTGACTCATGTATTCGCCGGACTTCCGCTCTGTCAGATAACTTCGAATCGTAAACGCGACCGAGACTCTTCACCGGTTCCTCCAGAACCGTAGGGATCTTGTTCCTTGCCACCGTAAAACTGATCGCCGACACTTTGCCCTTATGGATTGACAGACTCCTCGACTTCTGCGGTTTGAACTGCATACCGCTCCATTGGACCACCGCGTCCAATCTATTCAGGATCGTGCGGGCAGACTCCTCGCTGCCCGTTATAATAGTCGTGTCATCCATAAATGCGCGCAGTGGCGGCAACCAGTGATCCCCTATTTGAAGGCCCAGTCCGTAGCCGGC